CACTCCCTCCTTTCTCTCTCTCTCTGTTGGCCAATTGGCATGGAAAATTGTGAAATGGTTTTTGTGCTTTGTGTTTTTTGTGGCCCTTTTTCCTGCCACTAACAGCACTCTGCCAGTACCATGCTGACTCTGCCTCTGCCTTTGGCTCCATTTCAATGTAATTTGAACATGCAAACCGTTTGACGGCGAGGCTTTTGGCCAACAGAGAGATTGCTGCGGCATTTAGTAGATGTGGATATGAGGGCTTAGAGGTTTATCTTTGGATTTCAATTATGCTAAAAATAACGATATGTTGTGCATTATATACAACATATTGTAAGCAGCAGGACATTAACCCCTGCAGAAATAATAATATTATATATTGTTTCTTATCTAATTAATATTCAAAACTGTTTAAATTCCCAAATGAATGCCAAATTTTATTGAAATCTAATCAATGAATCATTAATAAAACAGTTGAAATGAAAAATCTCTGAAAAAAATTACTAAATTCCACAATTTTGACAAACCCCACAAAATTAAAATATTATTCAATTTTCCACACAGATTAAATTGTTAATTTTCTATTACCAATCTAATTAAATGGAATTTTCCAGTTTTCAATTGAAAGGCCGCCCCTCTGTATGTAGAGGCGGGGGAAGGTACGAAGAGATATCAATACAAAAAAAGGTCAAAAAGTGCTTTGAATAAATTATAATCCCGGGAAAAAAAAGTAAATAGATGGTGTGAGCAGGAGTGGCGTGTGGCAGGGTGAATAAAAACAAATCGTGAAGAGGTCTGCTGGTCGGTCGCAGATGTTTTGACGCAGAAATAATCCATTAATTCAATAAATGTATTTCTAGGGATTTTTCGTCTGTTTGTCTCTTTCTCCCCCTCCCACGCGATCATCCATTCCCCCTTTTTTTTTTGGTGTTTTTTTTCGTGTTTGTTTGAAAGTCAAATATTTGCACAATAATTTGTGGAAAAATGGTGGAGCCAGGATTGAAGTGGAGGGAGCATTCGTATTCCTATCCGTATCCGTATCCCTGTTCCGTGGAGCAACATCTGTTGATGAAATCAAAACCAATGCCTAAAAATACCCAGCTGAGAGGAAGGCAGGCAAAGGCTAAGCATTAGGGCAAATACTCGTACATATGTAAGAGTCCTTTTTCCTATCATTCGGAAAACATCCTAGGATGGCCCGTTTCTCATTTTAATCTTTGATTTTCCCCGAATATATTGGCAGCAGAGACACGACACGCGGGGGGCATGGGCTAAGCACACAAACATGAAAGCTGCAGGAAAAATATGGAAAATACTTGAATAACTACTCACCCGCAACGCAGCCGCTACGGGGGCAGAGTAGAAGCGGCAGTGGCAGCAGCGTTTCGGAATGAAGGAAAATGTGTGTGCGGAAAATCCAGGAAAATAAAACATACAACTTTTTTTTTAATGCAAACCATCCACATATGTGTATAGGCGGCAGCAAAGGCCGCAGAAGGCACGAATCAATGGGCTCAAAATATTAAACCGCTCGAGTTTCCATGCCGCCGCCCTGCCAGCTGTAAAAAGGCTTCCAGGTCCACTCATCCTGCCGTCTCTCTCATTCAGCGATGCATTTTCCGATGCTGATTCCAAGTTTTGCTCGCTATTTTTCCCATTTGTGGAGTGTGGCGTGTGTGGTGTATGATGGGGGCAGTGGCGGCTGCCTTTTAGTTTTGTAAATTGGCACTCAATGAATCAATGAATTTCGCCTCGATTTCGATTTCGATTTCGTTTTAGTTTTTATTTTCTCTGTGACCGCCACAAAGCGAGTGCGAGGGTAGAATGAAAAGTACTCTCTGTGAACACACAGAGTGAATCTGGGTTTCCTGTGTGTGTTTGAGTAATCTTTAGAATAAATCTCTCTATGAAATCTATCAATCTATCAATCTGCATTATTCATCTTATCCACGTATGTATTTCCCTTGTTTCCATTTCATCAAAATCTAAGCTTTACACCCATTTCTACATATACGTCTGGCCCGTACCCTACATTTTCTAAGCGAGTGGAATTCTCTCTCATATTATGTTTTTGTGGATATTTTGAAAGAATTTTTTTTGGCATTCACTTATAATGTACTTGACCCAGTCTGTGGCACGCCACCTATCCATCTGTAGGCAGGAGAGAAGCAGGGACTAGCCTCTGCCACAATAAACTGGTAAAAGTGCAGTCTCTGTCTCTGTGTGTCGCTCTCTCTGCAGCTGGTCCTTGTAGTTGTCTGTGGCCCTGACTGTGGATTTGTGAGCAGTGTCCTTTCTCTCATATCTTTGGTCCTTTCTCTGCGGTGTGTTTGTGTGGCATGCTCCATTTATGCTCAGAATTATGCTGAAATCACGTTCCCACACAGCAGGCAATGGAAATGGTGAGGGCGAACAGCAGGAAGAATGTAGAGGGAGGAGGATGTCTGCCACACACACAGAAGGAAGGTCGGGTGGTGGATGGGGCAGAGCCCTGGCAGTGAGAGTGGGTTAGTGGATAAGAGCTTCCACTTTCCGCGCTCTGCTGCATGTGAAAAATCTCTGGAAAGGAGCTCTAAAGAAAAGTGCTTCCTGCATAAGCGATTTTCCGCTTTCCCTCATTCTCTCGTGTGGGGGCCCTTTCCTTTGATGTTTTTTTGTTTTGTTTTGTTTCTACTGTATACTATTATTATTTTCTGTTATTTTTCTCCATTTTTACTATTTTCATTGCGTTTCAAGAGTCGTAGAGGGCGAAAAAGGGCATGGAAAATCCCGAGTTTCCTTTTCTTGTATTTTGTGGGAAAACAATAATAATCCCCTTGATCGATAGCGGGCTGGCTATTGATATTTTTTCCTTTGGTAATTTAAGATGATAACATGACACGACATTCCAAATCGGGAACAGGAAAATTAATTGGATACACACAGCGGGGTATTTAAATCAATTTTAAATATAATTGCGAGGCAAAAAAGAAGTAAAGCGATTGAAGATCGAAGGAAAAGCAAGACACATGTTAAATACAGTACAAAAATATAGCAGAAAAAAAAAGAATCTCATTCTTCAGTGTAAAAATAAAAGATTAAGGATCCATCCAAACTCCGTTTGCCACAAAATAAGTCAAATTCTTCTATGATATGTGGAATCGTATAGAAGAGGTAATTTGGAAACAGAAAACAGAGTTCAAGCGTCAAAATGACACCGAGAATTAATACATAAAATTAAACATAAAATATCACATACTATGAGGGCAAGCTAGTACATTAATGTATTCCCTCTTACTTAAATTGTCATAAAATAGTTTGAAGGTTGATTTGAACGTCAATGTCATCCCTTTCCAATGAAATATAATACCCAATACAACACAAGCCAATCACATTAAACCTTAAATTTGATCCAAAATCATTAAATTGGTGGATCATAATGGATGCATATTCTCAGCATTTAACGATCACACCTCGAACGAGTGAGAGGGATGTCGCTGTCGCGTGTCTCCTCATCTCCGTATAATTGTATCTGTGAATGTGAGTATGTACCATCTATATTCATCCCATTCTATCCATCGAATAATGATGATGCCAATCAGCAGACAATTTTATTGCCATGCCACAATTTCTCTTGCCTCCTCTTTTTGTCCTGTCATTTGGAGTCACTTATGTTCTACCTTAGTTTGGGACTCATGATAAATGGTGAGCATCTCTCTGTGAGTGTGAGGGAATGACATGGCAAGTGACATGGCCAAAAATCAAATCATTGTCGAGAGTCCTCCATCGAATCGCTTTTCTCTCAAAATTAACTCGAAAAAGGAAAAAGGATGCTTTCGAAATAATGGAGATTTATCAATCGTATTATCTAGCCATCAATCTTGTCGAGAAAACTGATAGATGAGCCATTATCTGACAAATTATCTGTCAAAGAAACAGATGAGAGAGACGGAGAGAGCGCGACACGTTTGTAAATTAGAGACATTTCCTACCCATAAATATTGTAGGGTTTTCTCTGGCGATTGATGGGTGGGCTCTAAGCAATAAGACTGCTGCTTCCTTCCCACCTCTTTTCATCTCTTCCCTTATCACTGCTCTTAAAAAACATTTTAAACAGTAAATTGATGAGACGCCAGCATGAATATACTTGAATATTCATGAATAACGCTTGACAATATACGAATAATTTACAAATTAGATTCGCTCACCCCCTGCCTCTTGCACACTCTTTGCTCGACTCGCTCTATCCTCCTCCTCCACCTTACCTAAATTTGTTAATGAAGTTATCAACGATGCAAGCTAGTTTTCCCCCCCAGTTTTCATTTGCATGTCGTCTGAGTTTCCGTCTCCGAGAGACTTTGTTTATGGATCTTTATAATCTGCTTTTATAGTTTGTTTACTTAATTTTTTGTGTTGCTTTTTTGACATTTTGCTCCAAATTAAAAGAAAAAACCAGAGACTAAGGCAATATTTTCACAGAAAGAAAGTGGGGGAGGTGAGCAATAGTGGTAGCAGACAGGCGCTGACGTATAAATATTCCCCTCCTTGGCCCAGAAGTAAAATAAAAACAAACGAAAAAAGTTTGGAACGGAAGTGGCCGTGCGCCGCCAAAAACGAGAAATAAAACGAAAAACGAGGGAGATGGAAAACCCACCCGAATGCAATAAAAACAAAAATAATACGAGCAGCCAAAAAACAACACAAAAAGATACAAAAAATTTTGATATTGCTGTTCCAGATTTTCTGGTGGTAGTGCAGGAAAATACAAAAGTGAAATGGTGAAAATCTAGCAAAAATATGCGCATGAATTTAGTTTCAATTCCACATAAATCGGTAGAGCTTAAAGCTGTCAACGTAACCGGGAGGAAGGGGCTGGAGTGGGCTTTTAAAATTGGACGGTAGAGACAGTATTAGGAGCGTTTGAGTTTACTCAAGGGCAGAAAATTACAGAGAACTCGAAAAATGTCACCAAAAAATCAGAAATACTATTACTAATGTGGAAAAATTAATAAAAGTTTGTGAAAAACTACATACCTTTGCCGGATAAATCTTCATTTAGTTTCGCTTCACATTTTGCGACGTGATCCCAAAATATAAATTCATCTTTGCATAACAATATATTTCACTGGGAAAAAAGGTTTGAAATTGAGCTTTTGTAAATCACTGGAAAAACAATTGTTTGAAAATACTTACAGATAAATACGGATAAATCTTCTTCTTCATTTAGTTTCACTTCTCATTTTGCGAAGTTTTTCCCAGGTTTAAGTTGATAGTTGCTTAATAATGTGTTTCACTGGAAAAAAGGTTTGAAATTGAGCTTTTTATATCACTATGAAAAGAATGTTTTGAAAATACTTACAGATAAATACGGATAAATCTTCTTATTCATTTAGTTTCACTTCTCATTTTGCGAGTGTTTCCCAGGTTTAAGTTGATAGTTGCTTAATAATGTGTTTCACTGGAAAAAAGGTTTGAAATTTAGCTTTGTAAATCACTAGGAAAAGAATTTTTTGAAAATACTTACAGATAAATACGGATAAATCTTCTTCTTCATTTAGTTTCACTTCTCATTTTGCGAAGTGTTCCCAAAGTATAAGTTTATCGTTGCATAACAATGTGTTTCACTGGAAAAAAGGTTTGAAATTGAGCTTTTTAAATCACTAGAGAAAGAATTGTTTGAAAATACTTACAGCATTTGCTTTCTTTTTGAGAGATTTGCATTCATCTTCCAGCCTTGTTCTATGTGGCTCCTCGTTGTACTCGTCTTCCAGACTTGCTTATCGTTGCGCCTATTAGCCGCTTTCCAGCCAAACAGATATTTTTCGTTGCACTTCACTTCACTTGCACTACACTTCACTTACACTGCACTTACACTGCACTTCACTTCACTTACACTGCACTACACTTAGAGCCTTGCTGCCCATTTTTCATTTTCATGCTACTTCTTTTTAAGATTGTATAACACTGTATAACACTGGAAAAAAATTATAAAATTGTCTTTATATTTAAAGGATATATATTTATCTCTTATAGGAATTATTCACTTATTTGGCAGATTTGCTATTCCTAGTTCCTACTGCTCTACCGCCACTCTTTCTCTTCTTTTCATTTAAACTGCACTTCACTTCACTCACACTTCACTTCTGCTTCTTCTTGCACTTCACCTGTTAGCATAATTACATTATATTTTTTCACTTATATGCTTAATGCATTCGCTTTATTGATTTATTTGCCGAAAATATTTATTCCGCTCTCTGCATTCGCTGCATCTTCCTCCAACAGACTGGTTCTTTTTCAGAATTTTATAACACGGTATAACTGGAGGAAAATAGAAAAGTAAAATGGTGAAAATCTACCAAAAATATGCGCATTAATCTAGTTTCAAATCCACAGTAGAGTTTTCGGTAGAGCTTAAAGCTGACAACGAAATCGAGAGGAAGGGGCGGCAGGGAGCCTTAAAAATTTGACATGAGAGACAGTGTTAGGAGCGTTTGAGTTTTCACAAAGGTAACAACTCGAAATATGTCACCAAAAAAATCAGAAATACTTTTACTAATATGGAAAAAGATGTAAAAATCCAGCCCAGATTCATTTGTTAAATTAATGAAAATTTGTGAAAACACTACATACCCTTTTCCGGATAAATCTTCTTCTTCATTTACTTTAGCTTCTCATTTTGCGACGTGTTCCCAAAGTATAAGTTTATCGTTGCATAACAATGTGTTTCACTGGAAAAAAGGTTTGAAATTTAGCTTTGTAAATCACTAGAGAAAGAATTTTTTGAAAATATTTACAGATAAATACGGATAAATCTTCTTCTTCATTTAGTTTCACTTCTCATTTTGCGAGTGTTTCCCAGGTTTAAGTTGATAGTTGCTTAATAATGTGTTTCACTGGAAAAAAGGTTTGAAATTGAGCTTTTTATATCACTAGGAAACGAATTTTTTGAAAATACTTACAGATAAATACGGATAAATCTTCTTCTTCATTTAGTTTCACTTCTCATTTTGCGACGTGTTCCCAAAATATAAATTCATCTTTGCATAACAATATATTTCACTGGGAAAAAAGGTTTGAAATTGAGCTTTTGTAAATCACTGGAAAAACAATTGTTTGAAAATACTTACAGATAAATACGGATAAATCTTCTTCTTCATTTAGTTTCACTTCTCATTTTGCGAAGTGTTTCCCAGGTTTAAGTTGATAGTTGCTTAATAATGTGTTTCACTGGAAAAAAGGTTTGAAATTTAGCTTTGTAAATCACTAGGAAAAGAATTTTTTGAAAATACTTACAGATAAATACGGATAAATCTTCTTCTTCATTTAGTTTCACTTCTCATTTTGCGAAGTGTTCCCAAAGTATAAGAAATAGCAACGTATTGTTACACAAAGTGACCTTTTTTCCAAACTTTAAATCGAAACATTTAGTGATCCTTTTCTTAAAAAACTTTTATGAATGTCTATTTATGCCTATTTAGAAGAAGAAGTAAATCAAAGTGAAGAGTAAAACGCTTCACAAAGGGTCGAAATTCAACTATCAACGAATTATTACACAAAGTGACCCTAAAAAGGTTTGAAATTGAGCTTTTTTAAATCACTGGAAAAACAATTGTTTGAAAATACTTACAGATAAACACGTATAAATATTCTTCTTTATCTAGTTTAGCTTCTCATTTTGCAACGTGTTCCCAAAGTATAACTTTTAGCAACGTATTGTTACACAAAGTGACCTTTTATCCAAACTTTAACTCAAAACATTTAGTGACCTTTTTGTTAACAAACTTTTATGAATGTCTATTTATGCCTATTTAGAAGAAGAAGTAAATCAAAGTGAAGAGTAAAACGCTTCACAAGGGTTTCATATTCAAATAGCAACGTATTGTTACACAAAGTGACCTTTTTAGGTTTGAAATTGAGCTTTTTAAATCACTAGAGAAAGAATTGTTTGAAAATACTTACAGCATTTGCTTTCTTTTTGAGAGATTTGCATTCATCTTCCAGCCTTGTTCCTTGTGGCTCCTCGTTGTACTCGTCTTCCAGACTTGCTTATCGTTGCGCCTATTAGCCCCTTTCCAGCCAAACAGATATTTTTCCTTGCACTTCACTTCACTTACACTGCACTTACACTGCACTTCACTTCACTTACACTGCACTACACTTAGAGCCTTGCTGCCCATTTTTCATTTTCATGCTACTTCTTTTTAAGATTGTATAACACTGTATAACACTGGAAAAAAATTATAAAATTGTCTTTATATTTAAAGGATATATATTTATCTCTTATAGGAATTATTCACTTATTTGGCAGATTTGCTATTCCTAGTTCCTACTGCTCTACCGCCACTCTTTCTCTTCTTTTCATTTAAACTGCACTTCACTTCACTCACACTTCACTTCTGCTTCTTCTTGCACTTCACCTGTTAGCATAATTACATTATATTTTTTCACTTATATGCTTAATGCATTCGCTTTATTGATTTATTTGCCGAAAATATTTATTCCGCTCTCTGCATTCGCTGCATCTTCCTCCAACAGACTGGTTCTTTTTCAGAATTTTATAACACGGTATAACTGGAGGAAAATAGAAAAGTAAAATGGTGAAAATCTACCAAAAATATGCGCATTAATCTAGTTTCAAATCCACAGTAGAGTTTTCGGTAGAGCTTAAAGCTGACAACGAAATCGAGAGGAAGGGGCGGCAGGGAGNTTTTTAAATCACTAGAGTTTCTTAACAAACTTTTATGAATGTCGTAAACGAAAGAAAAACTCTCTAAACGTAAGTAGAAGGTCGGAACAAGGAACACCGAGGAGCAACATGAGCAGAAGGTCTGAACGAATAGCAACGCGGATAATCGGGGAAAGGTCGGTTTGTCTATAAAAAGGAACGTGAAGTGAAGTGAATGTGACGTGAATGTGACGTGAACACTTCACTTACACTGCACTACACTTAGAGCCTTGCTGCCCATTTTTCATTTTCATGCTACTTCTTTTTAAGATTGTATAACACTGTATAACACTGGAAAAAAATTATAAAATTGTCTTTATATTTAAAGGATATATATTTATCTCTTATAGGAATTATTCACTTATTTGGCAGATTTGCTATTCCTAGTTCCTACTGCTCTACCGCCACTCTTTCTCTTCTTTTCATTTAAACTGCACTTCACTTCACTCACACTTCACTTCTGCTTCTTCTTGCACTTCACCTGTTAGCATAATTACATTATATTTTCTCACTTATATGCTTAATGCATTCGCTTTATTGATTTATTTGCCGAAAATATTTATTCCGCTCTCTGCATTCGCTGCATCTTCCTCCAACAGACTGGTTCTTTTTCAGAATTTTATAACACGGTATAACTGGAGGAAAATAGAAAAGTAAAATGGTTAAAATCTAGCAAAAATATGCGCATTAATCTAGTTTCAAATCCACAGTAGAGTTTTCGGCAGAGCTTAAAGCTGACAACGAATTCGTGACGAAGGGGCGGCAGGGAGCCTTAAAAATTTGACATGAGAGACAGTGTTAGGAGCGTTTGAGTTTTCACAAAGGTAACAACTCGAAATATGTCACCAAAAAAATCAGAAATACTTTTACTAATATGGAAAAAGATGTAAAAATCCAGCCCAGATTCATTTGTTAAATTAATGAAAATTTGTGAAAACACTACATACCCTTTTCCGGATAAATCTTCTTCTTCATTTACTTTAGCTTCTCATTTTGCGACGTGTTCCCAAAGTATAAGTTTATCGTTGCATAACAATGTGTTTCACTGGAAAAAAGGTTTGAAATTTAGCTTTGTAAATCACTAGGAAAAGAATTTTTTGAAAATACTTACAGATAAATACGGATAAATCTTCTTCTTCATTTAGTTTCACTTCTCATTTTGCGAGTGTTTCCCAGGTTTAAGTTGATAGTTGCTTAATAATGTGTTTCACTGGAAAAAAGGTTTGAAATTGAGCTTTTTATATCACTAGGAAACGAATTTTTTGAAAATACTTACAGATAAATACGGATAAATCTTGTTCTTCATTTAGTTTCACTTCTCATTTTGCGACGTGTTCCCAAAATATAAATTCATCTTTGCATAACAATATATTTCACTGGGAAAAAAGGTTTGAAATTGAGCTTTTGTAAATCACTGGAAAAACAATTGTTTGAAAATACTTACAGATAAACACGTATAAATATTCTTCTTTATCTAGTTTAGCTTCTCATTTTGCAACGTGTTCCCAAAGTATAACTTTATCGTTGCATAACAATGTGTTTCACTGGAAAAAAGGTTTGAAATTTAGCTTTGTAAATCACTAGGAAAAGAATTTTTTGAAAATACTTACAGATAAATACGGATAAATCTTCTTCTTCATTTAGTTTCACTTCTCATTTTGCGAAGTGTTCCCAAAGTATAAGTTTATCGTTGCATAACAATGTGTTTCACTGGAAAAAAGGTTTGAAATTTAGCTTTGTAAATCACTAGGAAAAGAATTTTTTGAAAATACTTACAGATAAATACGGATAAATCTTCTTCTTCATTTAGTTTCACTTCTCATTTTGCGAAGTGTTCCCAAAGTATAAGTTTATCGTTGCATAACAATGTGTTTCACTGGAAAAAGGGTTTGAAATTGAGCTTTTTAAATCACTAGAGAAAGAATTGTTTGAAAATACTTACAGCATTTGCTTTCTTTTTGAGAGATTTGCATTCATCTTCCAGCCTTGTTCCTTGTGGCTCCTCGTTGTACTCGTCTTCCAGACTTGCTTATCGTTGCGCCTATTAGCCCCTTTCCAGCCAAACAGATATTTTTCCTTGCACTTCACTTCACTTACACTGCACTTACACTGCACTTCACTTCACTTACACTGCACTACACTTAGAGCCTTGCTGCCCATTTTTCATTTTCATGCTACTTCTTTTTAAGATTGTATAACACTGTATAACACTGGAAAAAAATTATAAAATTGTCTTTATATTTAAAGGATATATATTTATCTCTTATAGGAATTATTCACTTATTTGGCAGATTTGCTATTCCTAGTTCCTACTGCTCTACCGCCACTCTTTCTCTTCTTTTCATTTAAACTGCACTTCACTTCACTCACACTTCACTTCTGCTTCTTCTTGCACTTCACCTGTTAGCATAATTACATTATATTTTTTCACTTATATGCTTAATGCATTCGCTTTATTGATTTATTTGCCGAAAATATTTATTCCGCTCTCTGCATTCGCTGCATCTTCCTCCAACAGACTGGTTCTTTTTCAGAATTTTATAACACGGTATAACTGGAGGAAAATAGAAAAGTAAAATGGTGAAAATCTACCAAAAATATGCGCATTAATCTAGTTTCAAATCCACAGTAGAGTTTTCGGTAGAGCTTAAAGCTGACAACGAAATCGAGAGGAAGGGGCGGCAGGGAGCCTTAAAAATTTGACATGAGAGACAGTGTTAGGAGCGTTTGAGTTTTCACAAAGGTAACAACTCGAAATATGTCACCAAAAAAATCAGAAATACTTTTACTAATATGGAAAAAGATGTAAAAATCCAGCCCAGATTCATTTGTTAAATTAATGAAAATTTGTGAAAACACTACATACCCTTTTCCGGATAAATCTTCTTCTTCATTTACTTTAGCTTCTCATTTTGCGACGTGTTCCCAAAGTATAAGTTTATCGTTGCATAACAATGTGTTTCACTGGAAAAAAGGTTTGAAATTTAGCTTTGTAAATCACTAGGAAAAGAATTTTTTGAAAATACTTACAGATAAATACGGATAAATCTTCTTCTTCATTTAGTTTCACTTCTCATTTTGCGA